TTCTCACCAACAAGAACTGTCACGCATTACAAGTTGGAAAGAAGACTTAAAAAGACCTCTCCGTGTGTCTCTGACTTCTGACTGACGGGACTGGTCAATTTACTAAGGCACACAATGTCTTTACATATTTTTAAAATATTTTTTTTTTCTTTTTTTTTTCACTTTGTGTTGTCATAGGTATTTATGGGGGGAGGAGAAAAAAAATAGACATATGCATAATTTGAGAGAAACATCAATGTCATACCTATTTGAAAGCCACTTTTTTTTTTTTTTTTTTTTTTTTTTTTTTTTGGTAACTAAATCTTCCAGGCAAAAACCTAATGAAGTACAGAATTATAACTTATGAAAGACCAAGTACAGTCCAATACATACCATCCCTATGTAACTCTTTACGAAAAACAGAAAGATGCTTAAAAAAAAAAAAAATGTAATGATAGAAGGTACACAAAAACTACTACATGAAGATAAGAAGAAAATAGATTTAGAGGCAAACAAACAAAGTTATAATTACATGAAAACAACATTAATAAGAACTCCACCTTTAAACCTGCAAGATACACTATTTTTTTTCCAATAGGGCAAACCTAACATGAAAAAAGCATGTCTATCAAACAGGACATGAAATGACCCTAAAATGATGCTTATAGTTTCATCACTAAGAAGTTGAAAGAGGAAGGTAACGTTCATGTTTGCAACCTTCTTATCAGAATTACACGAAAGTTATGAAAATATTCAAGTTATCTGCCTGTGTCATTACCTCCGAAAAAATCAAAAAGCTTTATATAAAAGCCAATATTCATATAATTATTCTTACTATATGTAACAATCAGTAAAATAATAAAATTTGTAACAATGACAGTGATGATGTTAATAATGGAAATATAACAACAGCAATGATAATACAATACTAATAATAATAACTGTTAATAGTAAATTGGTTGTAATAACAGTTATAACTGTAATGACAATAAAAATAAAACTATTAGTGTGACAACAGTTACACCTCATATTATCATCACCATTATAATAATCATAATCATAATCACCACTACAATAATCAGTATCATTATTATCATCCTTACATTTATTATTACAGTAACTATCATTATCATCAATATAAAAAAAAGAAGAAGAAGAAGAAAAAAATCACAATCATATTCACAAATGTGTATTGTATAGTACAAACCCTATTCATAAAAGCCTGAGTGTTTTTTTTTTGTTTTTCTAAGTGTACCATTACAAAAATATGATCTGAAATTAACAGATTAAGTGTACATGTGTATTTCAGGTTATCGCTCAGGTCATACAGACTATTATAATTCTCTCTCAATGGAGGTGTTACATGGTTAGATATCAAGTGAAGAAAAAATATAATAATAAAATATAAAATAAACAAAAAAAAAGAGGCAAGAAAAAAGTGAAAAGATTTCAGTAAATAATAATAAATAAAAGCTTACGATACATTAAACTGAAATGAATAGGATGGTACAGATCACATTACCATATAAACTGTGTAAAATAAAACCCCATAAGTGAAAATGAATAAAAACTTTGTTTCGCTCTCTCTTTGATTGGCAAGTTGTACAAGGTGTGTCAAATACTATTTACAGAATAAAACTTCTCTTGTGCAAAAAAAATCTCCTTAAATAATAATCAACAAGCTAAATATATATATATATATATATATATATATATATATATATATATATATATATATATATATATATATATATATATATATATATATATATATATGCGCATTTGAAAATGTCTTCTTGTCCCTTGCTGTACAACCTTTCCTTTGCATGTGTGGTTGCTGTGATTACATCAAGAAGCTGGGAAAATAAGGGAAGAAGGAAGCATAGGAAGTGCAATGTGGAGAAGGAGAATGGGAAGAGGGAAAGGGGGAGAAGAAATAAAGTAGATAAGGAGAGGAAGAGAAGTAAAAAGGGGAAGAGGAGAGGGGGTTAAAGGAAAGAACGGAACAGATGAGATGGGAAAGAGATATGGAGAGGAAGAAAGAAAAGAATGAAGGCTGAGTTGCTAAAACAAGGCAGGAGTGAGTTTAAAGTGTAGAAAGAGGGAAGTGGGGGGTGAGCATAAGAACAAGTGATCTACAAAGGAGTACAGAAGGAGAAAAGTAAGTCACCTGGTAATGAAATGACAAGGATGGGAAAAGAAGGCGAAAAAAATAAATAGAATAAAACAATGGATAGAATAAAGAAACAGGATACACATAAAAAAAAGGCAGAAAATCAACACTTAGGGCAAACATCTGGCTGCTGCAGTTGGTTCAAAAGAAAAAACACAACACAAGTTGGAACAAAAGATCATTTTGATGCGAACGAGGAACCTCTCTGCCTAATCTTCCTACATTTTCCCCTTTGCATTCCCCATTTCTTTTGAGGTTTCCTTCTGAATCTTAAGCCCTGTAGTGTTGTTTTGCAGAAAAGAAGGGACTTCAGACTAACTAACCCTCAAAGCAAGTTCTAACTCCACTGATAAAACATAAAATTTGGCTTTCAATCTCATTTTGTCACCCATGCTTTGGCACATCTGGTATGTGTGCTTCTGGAAACAATGTTCTGTTTGTGTGATCCAAAAGAAAAGAAAAGAAAAGAAAAGAAAAAAAAAAGAAGAAAAAAGCACAGAGAAATAACTAAACGTTTACAAAAAGATAAAGAAATGCATCTCTTATTTTTTGTTTGGCACAAGGGTTTAAGAAACTGCTATTGTTTTTTACTTATTTTTTTTTCTTTTACGTGGACCCACTTGTGTTCAAAAAAATTCGTACCTACTTTCCTGAGCCCAAAAAAGATGTCTAAGCTGAGAGTGGGAAAAAAAATAAAAGGAAAAACACGTACATAATAATTCATATATTTTCTTGAACATAAAGATGGTTTGGGGTGGGTGGGTAGGAGGGGGGTGGGGGGTGGGGGAGAACCATCAGAAACATAATCACAATAAATAAATAAAGTTTCAACCCTTCCCACCCAAAATTACACACCCATTAAAGGTACCATAATTACTGCTATTATTATTAATCTTTATCTCTGTTGCTCTCTCTCTCTCTCTCTCTTGTTACTACATGCTTAACTCTAAATATTTGACATTTGCAAGGAAGACATGGGTAGACTGAAACAATAAGACACCAGGCCTGACCACACTGGGAAAACTTAAAAAGAAAGAAAGAAAGAAAGAAAGAAATCCTGATACAAATTTTTTGGGGTACAAGGGAATGGGAAGGAGGGGGGAGGGGAGGGGGTGATACAGGGGGGGTGGGTAATGAAAACTAGCAAGGGGATTCATTTCCAGGGGAAAGGGAGGGTCAAGGGCAAGGGAGGAAGGCTCTTTGACTCCTTCGGTAGTTAGGATTCTCATTACTCTTTCAGTATATGCACGTGTGTGTATGAATGTGACTGTGCATGTATATGTTATACATACATACATATGTGTGTATAACATATATATATGTATAACATATGTATATATTTATATGTACACACACACACACACACACACACACACACACACACACACACACACACACACACACACACACACACACACACACACACATACACGCACGCACGCACGCACGCACGCACGCACGCTCGCACGCACACACACACACATATATATGCATGCATATATATAAATAAATATATATATATATATATATATATATATATATATATATATATATATATATATATATATATATATATATATATATACACACATATATATATACATACATACATATATACATACATACATACATATACACATACATACATACATACATACATACATACATACGCACGCACGCACACATACAGATATATACTGTATAAACACATGC